CTTGCTGTGCTTGAGATTAGTTTTGGCTCTGTCCTGGAGTGTGCAGACTGATTCCTGCTGGTGGGACCAAAGGGTGCTCCAGGGGCACACCAAAAGCTGCCAGTGGTGTTTGGCTGAGGCAGAGCCCAGAGCCCCTGAGCACGGTGAGTCCTGGGTGTCTCCTCTTTGTGCACGTTCGCTGCTGCTGTGCTCTTGGGAAGAGCTTGGGCTGACCACATCCCACCTGGACCTGCCTTGGCTTGGCTCACACTGCTGACGTGACAGTCAGTGCCAACCTCAGCTTCAAAGTGAAGGAAAAGCACCTGACATATCCTCAATGTTTTCTGATAGTCTGGCTTTTCAATAGTCGTGCTTCCAATTCAGACGTTTCAGAGAAGAAAAAGGGAATAGGAGGGGTAAGTGTGAGAGAAGTATTAGTTTTTCTTCTACAGCAAAGCACAATTTTTCTAATTTTGCTTGATGAGTTTTCAAGGCCAGCAAAGAAGTTCTTCTTCATCACCAAGAGTGTTAATTGCAATTTGTATCCAAGACTTCTGTCATTCAATGTACTAGAAGACAGAAATAATCTTATTAATATACCAGTGTGTACTGAGCACTTCATCTCATTTTGTCATAGGCTTAAATGTGTAAAATTTAATTAGAGACAAGCACTAAATCTAATTGTTAGGGACTGCTGAACAGTTGCAGTTTTGTTAGTCCTGTGAAACCTTCTGACTTCCCAGGAAGAATGTCTTCTGTTTGCTTTCAGCCTGTAAAGTGTTCAGAAGCATTGGTTACATGTAAGGACAAGGCAAGATGCAGTTCTGTTACTGTTCAGTCTGTGTTTAATCAGCAGACAGAATTTGAGATGTTTTGTGAATTTCAGTTGAACTTGGCAGATGGGTTCAGGCAAAAATAAAAATAATAACAAGTGAAATTAATGTCAGTTTCTTGAAATAGATTAATGACAGTTTACTAAAGTAAGCAGAAAAGTATCCTAAAATACCTTTGTTTCCAATGTACAGTCAAGTCAACTAAGCTGTGTACCTCCAGTGTGCTCCTACCACAGAGAAAGTTGTTCCTTCTCACACTCAAACCCAATTAATATTAAAGAATATTTATCTGGAGCAGAATAGATCTTCAGGATAGATTCACCTTCAGGATAGATGTAAAAGGATTCCTTCAGAGTGTTCATTATGCCTTATTTTTTGCTTAAATCACATGGTCTGATTACATAAATCAGTCTCTTGATGGCCACACTTCCTCTACTCTTATTCTAAAACCTGCTTAATGTGATTAAAATTGAAACATTTGGGTCTGGGGATGAATTCAGTTTTCTGGACTAATTGCTTCGTGCAGCTGTTTCAGAGCTGGTAGGAAACCAGGACATACATGAGCTTAGTGACAGTGCCCATAGCCCCTGGAAGGCTGCATTCTCATAAGAACAAGATTTTAGAGATTATTAAAAAAAAACCTGAAAACTCAGTGCAACAGAAATCTACTTCCAAAGAAAAAAACAAACCTGACAAAACCAAAAACCAAACACACCTGCTTTCCTAAACCCCTCCAAACAGACAAACCCAGTGCCAAAGCCTTTTGGCAAGATTTGGTGTAGAAGCTGCTTTATGAATTTCCAGTGGATTGTTGTATTTTGCTGACATCTATATTTAGTTTCTGATCCACATCAATGCTTGCTAGGGGTAGCATTAAAACTTCTGACACGTATTCTGTACCATGTGCCGTTTCTAAACACAAACACTTAAAAGGTTTCCTTCCTTACACAATCACTTTAAGGTTGCTATTTTAATCCCATTTCTCCCGGTGGAGTTAAATGCAAAATAAAGATCAGGTTGCTGGAGAGCTGTTATTTGAAAGGTTTTGCTGTTAATTGGTGCAGGACAGACACCTTGTGCAGCAGCTCCCTGGCAGTGCCAGCAGGCAGCTCCGCAGCGAGCGCGCTCCTGGCGCTGCCGGCACCGGGACCTGCCTGCGGAATTCCAGTCTCGTTGCAGACCTGCTTGCAGGGGAGGAGCTCCTGGAGCCACCAGCTGAAGCAAGACGCCTCACAAACAAAAGGTCAAGGTGAGAACCCTACTAGATGCAGGCTGATTTAAGAAATCGTTTGGTTTTTTATTTCTCTAGTGCAGAAAGCAATGCTGGGTGAAATAATGTAACTTGGGGCTTGTAATTGCACGGGGTCACAGTCTGATGGTTATGATCACGCTCAGCATTTCTCCCTGTGCTAAAGGGAAGACAAGAAAAGGAAGAAAGAGGGCTATAATATTTCCTATTAAAAAACAGCAATAACAATGAATTTTAATGCTGGTCACAACTGATATTTCGAGGAAAGGAAATTTAGAATGCAAATGGTGATTGGTGATGACCCCTCTCAGCAGCAGGGAGGTTCTGGCTCTGCCTGGTGATGCTCAGGTGCATTTCCTGGTGCCTGTGTGCTGCTCTTAGCCTGCTGCTGGATGGCACAGGGCATCCCTGGATGCCTGGAGCTCAGGAAGGGCAAGTGGGGAGCGGCTGAGGTCTCTTGCCTGAACTTGTGGAGATAGTGGGGACAAGGGAAAAAGCAGTTTCTTCTTACTTGGAGGAGATGATCGTGGTACAGTGGGGAAAGGGGAGTGCCATCTTCTCCTTCTGAGTACAAGGACAAATACCTCACACAAGGTTCACAGAGAGGTTTTCTGAACAGCAGGGAGCAGGATGAGAAATCAAACAGCCTTTCCTAGTACTTTGAAATTTGTTACTGTCTCCAGTTTTTCTCTTGTGAAGGTGTTTTTTGTGAAACCATTACCATACTCCTGCTGTGGTGCCTATAGAAAATAGAAGAGTGATTAGGCTTCAGAGAAATGGCACCTATGCTGAGCTCTCTTCATCCACCTGGTTGACTATTACTACATGCTTTCTGGAGGAAAATCCGTGTTCTGTTTCTGTGCTGAGGACAAGGATGTCTTCGTCAATGGATACGTTTCCTACAGGCTGCAGTAATTTATGTAATCACCATTAACTGCAGTGGTGCTTGTACATCAGCTCAGCAGGGATGGATCTCTGGGCCTTTGTGGAAGTGGTAGTTATAGAAAAGATGCAGTTTTTCTTTAAAGAAAAAAGGAAGGTCTTAGATGTATAAACTCCTCCAGCCAAGCACTGCTTGCCCTGATCTGGATAGGCTCATTGATTTTGATGGATCCATGCTAATTTGTGCCTTCTAAGGATTTGCCCATCAATTTTTATCAGCTTTACAACATGAGATGGAGCAAGAATATTTTAGAGGCAGCAGGAATATATTTATATAGACTCAAATTAATCTTTTTCTTTTTTCCTTTTCTATTTTTTTTTTTTTTAATAGATGTGAATGTGTTGCAGATGCCCAGCATATTCATGTAGAGGAAGGCAGTGAACTCTGTTTTAGTGCTGAGACTCTGACAGGTAGAAAGAGACTTGACTGGGAGAAAGGAAGCAAAAACTTTTGGTCATTCTTAAAATTTATTTCTGGTTATGTCAAACTTCCTCCTAATCCAAAAGGATTTGTTTAGTACCCATTTTTCACTCACCAAAATTTTTGTCTCTGTCACTTCTCTGGTTGTTTCCAGGTTGAGCACAGGTTGGCTCCTGGGCTGGCCTTTGCTTGTCACCACACCCAGGGAGTTCTCAAGCAGGCAATGACAAACTCCTGGGAAATTTCACGTAGCCAAATCCATAAGTAGACCTGAGGCTCTTGCATTTGCTACTGTAGTCTATAAAAATCAGCTTCCATATAATTTGGGGATTTTTTGGGATGAGTTTTCTGTATTTTTCCTTTAGAGAATCCTCTTCAGCATCTTCCTGAGCTGTAAACTCTGGAATTTAATCTGTTCAACCGTACCTCAGACAGATTCAAACCAGTGGAACTTGCAGTAGCAAAGAGGACAGAAAATGTTCCCCAGCACCTCCCTCTGCTCTGTCAGGCTCTGTGCATAGGCTGTGCCATTCTTGCAGCCATGTATCACAGCTGCCTGCAGATCACATCTGCCTGATGATTTCCACAGCAACTTGGACATTCAAGGCAGGAGTATGAGCTGGTAAGTCAAGGTTCCTCTCCTTTCTTCTCCTCAACTTTTCCTCACAGTACAATGGGGGTAATTATATATGTCATGATTTTGGACAGTGCTTGTCCAAGGCAAAGCATCAGACTGTTGCAGTTCTCCAAATCCAGTTCAAACACCTCACAGGGATCAGCAGAACGCTGTGTAGGTGTGAGTGTTGGGGGCAGGATGGTGGGGGAATGTACAGGATGATTTTCTGGGACTGGGGGCATGACATCCCTTGGAGGACATCCTCTGGCAGATGTTACATGGATGGAATACAGTGAGAAATCCAAGGCAGCTTTTCCTTCTTTGTGCATGGAAAATGTTGACTGGGGTCAGCTGTGGGGAAATCCTAGAATCATAAAATGGCCTGGGTTGGCAGGGACCTTAAAGACGGTCTAGTTCCAAACCCCTGACTTGGACAGGCACGCCTTTCTCTAGACCAGGGGGCTCAGAGCTCTATCCAGCCTGGCTTGATGCACTTCAAGGGATGGGCCATCCACAGCTTCATTAGTCCTCTGTCTTTATTGGATAGCCTGAAGAAGTGTAAACACCAACACTGAACTAAGAACACAAAATCTTGGTATTCTCAGAGTAAACACAGGCATTATAAAGCAGGGGTTTAGGTCTAATGTGTTCGTTTAAGCAGTGGGTACACTGCAGCTTTGTCTCTCCGCGCTGGCTGAACTCTTTTCCCCCTTTCCGAGGGTCGCACGGGTCGCTGTTGCCGCTCCCGCAGCGTCCCGGCCGAGCCAGCGCAGCGCCAGCACCGCACCGCTCCGCCCGAGCGCTGCGAGCTGCTGCCGAGGACACAGACACCTTCTGAAGTTTTCTGCATGCTGTGCGCCTTTTTTTTTATTTGCTGCAACAAGAGAAGCCTTTTCTTTTAACCCGGCTCCCTTTGAAGAAGTAACTCAGGAAGCTTCATGGCCTCTCAAGGTAAGTGCATCTGTAGTCTGTATTTTTAGATCGTGTTTACAGAAAACTACAGCCTTGTGCGTTTCCAGCAATCAGCAGTCTGATGAAATGAGTGTCTCAGGCTAAAACCACATCAGTCACAGCACAGTTGTTTTGTCTTCCTTTAATTTTTCAGCATCCAAGAGGCTCCTAAGGAGACTAAAATCTATACTATGATGTTATTTGAATAAAATAGGTTATAAAATGTTAGCCTCTGCATTCAGTCAGAAAATTTAGTGTTTGTGTCTTTGTGTTTAAACCTGTCAGTACAGAATGCCTGGGAAGGGTGGGTACTGAGCCAAGGGTACCACTACTGCACACTTCTTCCCTCTTTCGCTTTGAAAATACTACATCAGCAAATGGTTTTCACATTCAAAACTGGCCAGAATCCTGATAACCTCATACAAAGAGTAATAACTGAAGAATAACTGAATCTAATCAGATTACTCTTATCTGGACGTGTCTGTGTCATGTACTGACTTTAGCTGTAGTCAGTTGAATACTCAGGGCAATAGGTAAACACAGAGCATCTGATCTAACCAGCCTTCTCAATTCATTTTCAAATGCTTAAACTAAGCAGAAGGATACAAATCTCTTTTTCTCTTAACATGAGTGCAACTCCATGGAGATCATTCTGTCGGCATGTGCAGGGGCATGTGTTGGCCCAGGGAGTTTCAGCAATTTCTGTCTAGGTTTGCCAAATGCTCATCCCTCTTTCTTGCCCTCAAAACACTCAAGAGATTCTGCATTAGAGCACTAAAAGGTACACAGGAGCACGCAGGTTTTACAGCATTGTTATACTCTTGTAATATAGGGGTTTTTTATAAATCTTGTTTAGCTTTAGCCATATTAGAGAAATCTGGTTTTGCACATTTTTGATGTATATCAGTTAGGAGAAACAGTTAATAGTAATGGTGTGGAATATGGTTTTTCATATGAAGAAACTTGACAATACACCTCTTTTAGGAGCATGCAGCTCTACAAATTATGTTTGTACAGAATACTCACTGTATCATACAGTAACTTTAAGGTTTTCCATACAAGTAATGAAATGGGAACCATACACTAAAATAGACAGTGTCAGACTAGCTCAAATTGTCATTAATATTTAATGTATTTACTGTTTGATTTTTGTATAGCTTAAAATTTGACAGGTAGAACTGCAATTTGTTGTCGTTTTTTCTCTTTATTATTCAAGAATAACGCTAACACTGGGCTACTTCATGGCATTTCATGTAACAACAAGAGTTACGGCAGTAACAGAATCCTGTGAGGTAAAATGATGCAGAAGAGCATATAAAATATTTATTACCCAGTTATACATTTTTAAAGCCAGCAACAAATTCAAAGGGGTTACTTCTTCCTGTGGCCTCAGACTTTGAAAGAAAGCAGTGGCTGCAAAGACAAATTAAGATCCAAATATGATTGAATGATGAATCTTTTACAGTGAGTTCAAATAATACTAAAGGATCTCATTTAAACCCACAGCAGCAAAAGAGAGATTCAGAGACTTAGACCCAAAATTCCTTCTGGACCTCAAACCCCATTGTGTCTACATATTGTCACACATGAGATAAAAATGATCAGTTTGGGGACTGCTTTCCTGCCAGATCACAGGGGCTCAGTTCAACACAAGGATTTGCCATTAATATGGGGAGAGCTTCAGTTTGCTTCTCCTGGTTCCTGCAGAACCAGCGTTGCTGCAGGCTGAGGAACAATGAACCTGGAAAAACTAGCAGGAGTTTTTTGGAAATCTAGTGCTTTAGGTGGTCACTGTGCTGTGGGAGATGGTGCCTGTGCCTGTGGAAGTGTGTGGGTGTACAGATGCCTGTGGCAGTAAATCCTCTCATTACCTTCACAGCCCTGGTCAAGGTCACCATCACTGTGCCCTAAAGGGCTTTGGGATAGAAAATTAGAAAACACAGCATAATGATATCTGATCTATTCATTAAGATAATAATGAATAATACACTATAAGAGGCCGTGTAGACTTTGATATCAGGGTTGTAAAATCCAGCTTGGGGAATCTGAGATCCCTGGAAACGTTATCTCTAATTAAGAGAAATTATGGGTGCCTTCAGGATGCTGGAAATTATCTTGCTGGGAGCCAGCTCTTAGCAGCTCAGGGCACACAGGGCAGCTCAGGGGGAGCAGGGCTGGGCAACCTGTGCTGAGGGGCTTCTGGCCACCCTGTATGTGTGAGTCCAGGCCAGCTCCAGCCTTGCCACACAGGCTCTGTGTTCATCAGCTGTCTGAGCAGATTAAGTGCCCTCCAAGACCACATCTCCTGATTTAACTTCATATGAGTGATTAAGAGTGTTTCCTCTTTGGCTATTCTAAGGCAGCTTTATAATCAGAGGGCTTGATGTGTGGGACAATCAGGGGATTCCTTTGGGTCCTCACTCCTGACCTAAAGTACTAATATAGTCACATGCAGAATGATGTTATTGTTCCAGCTTTGATCCAAGAAGCTCCTTGGTCCTGGTGTTTCTGGCTTTTTTTTCTTTCTTTTTTTCTTTCTGCAGAATCTCAGGGACAAACCAACCCAATCTTTAAGGATTACCTCCCTGGTTCTTCCGACAATCCTCAGCAGAATACGCCTGTTGAACCAACAAGTCTCTGGAAGCAAACATCACACTCTCATAATTTGCCACCTGGTCTGGAGTACCTGAACCAGGTCCTGAATCTTTCTGAAAGTTAGAATCATTATGTTTTCCTTTTTGGTTGCTTTGATACCCTGGAGGATGGGTTTGTTTGTTTTTTTGCCCTTGGAGGAGGGATAGGTTGAGATGGAGAGGCTTTTTTGTTGTTTGATATTACTATGAAATAAGGGATGTAGGAGAAAGAAGATTTTTCTTCATTTCTGCCAGTCATTTTATAGAAATTAGATGAGCATAAGTCTGAGTGGCTACAAACTTGCATTAACTCTGTTTGGGGATGTGCTAATGCCTGAGGGAGGAAAATGCTTGAAAATGGAGGCAGAGAAGTAGATCATAGGGTGGGAAGAAAAATGAATGCTTAAGTCTTCTCCATCATACTGCTAAGCATGTGGTTATCCCTTTCCTCTGTGAAACCTCTCAGCTCCTGGAGCTCAGAGCACTGATGGTCTGCAGCTCTGCTCCAGAAGTTTCACCTTTTCCTAAACTTTGTACCAGGAGAGTCACTCCCTGCTGTTGCTTTGACACTGACTGAGGATTGCATTTTGCATGTGGCTGGGTTGTGCCACTCTTACATGCTGAGTAAAGTGTCACACAGCCTGCCTGGTATGGGAAGGGACAGAATCAGGCCCCAGCATAGTCAGATCACGATTCTGATACATCTCTACTGTGTTTGCATTTTGGTGATGCTGGGAAATGTTTACTTCACTCAACATATGTATTATATACATTAATATGTATATAAATTCTGCATACACATTTCTTCTGGTTTTGTATAGAGGCAGAAATTTAATGTATTTTATACTTGGAGCAAAGCTAATGAAATGGGAAGACTCTTCAGAAACAGTCTTTCATGTGGAGTGATGATTTTCATTTCAAGATGCCTGAGCACAAAATGATATGTGTTGTCAATTACACAAGCATTTGCTTTTGCTACATTTTTAGTCTAAAAGTGATTGTGATAGTAAGTACTTGGCAGGTTACATATTCAGGCTCCTGTATGAACATGAATTACAGCTCAGATTTACCCAGACAATGTAGACAAGCAAATATTATCACTCCATTTTATAGAAGCTTTGCATCTGACATTAAGACAAAAGATCAGGTCACTCTCAGAGCTACAACTGGAACTGAGGACCTCATTCATGCTTATTCTTGGTCTGTGCTGCAGCTCTTGCTAATTGTTCTCAATTTTCTCTAGTCTGAAAAGTGGGAAGCGTGTGTGCCATGCTGATTGTTGGCATGTACCACGGCTCGAGTTTCCGTGCGCTGCAGAACGTTTCAGCGTGTGATGCTGAAGCCTTGCTGGCTGTGTGGCGAAGGAAAGGGGCTCATTCAGGATAGCTGGGAGCATATCGAGGTTCCACCAGTGGGAGAGGGCTGCCTGCAGAATTCATGTGGGATTCACAGCTGCTAGGGTTATCCCTTGGGATTTATCCTCATCTTTTTTTTTACTCCTACCATCTTTAACTTGTTTATTCCCTTTCCATCAGCAGAGCCCTTCCCATGAGCTCCAAGAGCTCTCTCATGAGACCCAAACAACAAACAGCAAAGGTTCTTGGGAGAATATTTTTACGTCTAAATATTTTTTATTATTTCAATTACTGGCATGCACATTTCAGAGATTAATCAAAGAGATAAAGAAGTTCCTCTCTTCACCAGCTTTGCTTTGCAGCCTGAGCTAGTTGCAGGAGCTGACTACAAGTGACAAATGGCTGCAACAGTTTGAATACGTATCAGGCGAGATTTATCAATTTTAAAATATCCAGGCGTTCGAGAGCTGTGAGAGGCTGGTCTCAGAAGGTCGCCGTGTGCTTTGTGTCTGCAGCTGTGAGTAATGGCAAAACCCTGTGCCAAGAGTTTGCCCATCAGGAATTTATGGAAAAGAGATTGGTAAAGCCTAAAACTGTCACATAAAACAGGCATAAAAAGTCACATAAAACTGAAAGGTAGACTGAAATTAAGTCTTGCTGGTTTTATAATGCTAACAACTGTTCTCCAAGAAAGAATAATGTTGGAGGGATGTTAAGCACAGAAAAGCTGGGTATCATGCTAAGCAGTTTTTCTCCTGCATTTCTAACCAGCTCCTGGGGGAAGACATTTTCAGCCAGCTGAGTGTTTCACTGTTGTTTTGCTCATTCTGCTTCCCTGGCATGGCCATTTGCCAGACTTAGGGTGCAGGACTCAAGTTCCTGAGATCAGAGCATTAAAGCTGGTGTATGCCATTGTTGGCATTCCCTGACTGCCTTGCTATGCTGCTCCAGCAAGGTCCTTTGGGATGTGGCCACATTTTGAGCTTGAGCCCAGGCTAATTCACTCCTGCACTGCCATGGTGCCCAGCACCAACCTTGGATTTGGCATGAGGAGCTTCCTCTCTGCCAGAGGAGCAACAGGAGCAAGGAGAGCATTCTGCTTCTCACACACAGCTTTCTGTTGCTGTTGCCTTTCTCATTCACCAGTGAAGATTATTTTTCTTCAGACATGTGGGTGAATTACTTGGCCAATGTCACATTCCTCAGCCATAATTTCAGACAGAATTCCAAAGTGTGACTTGAGATATTCTTCAGGCACTCAGTCTGTGCACCTCTGGAAGGAAAGAAATCTTTGTTTCAGGGAGATGAGCAATAAAAATAGACATGTGACCACTTGCAGCCCCAGACCTATCCAAGACCCACCATCTTGTTTATTCTTTTAAAACAGCTGGACCAGATAATTATTCATCAGCAAGTGGAGCTTCTGGAAGGTATGATACAAGCCTTATCACCCTTTAACAGTGCTGGTAAACTCTTTGGGTGTCTCCCAAAGGCATCCAAGCCTTGCTCCCAGTTCACTGAAGTCACTGTGAATGCTCCTGCTGCCCTTGTGCCGGGCTGTTATGCAGTGATAGTGTGGGGAAGGCTCACTTTATTGTCTGCTGCTCTGCAGCAAACCACTAAGGGGTGAGTAATCTCTACAACAGCCCTAAATTCTCTCTCTCAGACACCTCCCTCTCAGGATTATTAAAGTTTAACCATCCTTCCAATCTGTGGAAAAAATTTCTTGCCTATAACAATAACTAACATACTATGAGAAACAAAGCAAATAGAGAAAGGAAGGTCATAAAACATGAAATGAAGCAAAATATTTTCTAATTACTTAGTTTCTCAGAATTTCAAAATACTGAACAAGTATTAAGTTCTGCCAGTAAAACACTGTAAAAATATATTTCTCCCATTCAAAATGGTTTTGGCCTGATTCTTGAATGACCTGCTGGTTAGAAGCTTTGTCACTGAAGTGGGCCAGTCTCAGGGTATTACTTTTCACAGATGATAAAGCCAGAAAAAGCCCAAACCAAATCTCAGGATCTGAATTCTCTTTTGTGATATGTACTTTAGTGTACAACAAGTCTGGATTAATTCCTTCAAATACAGACCTGGCATGATTATTTCCACATATGTGTATATTTTCTTTGTGTTGCTACTTTGCTACTTGAAAATGATTTTTTTAAACAATCTGTCTCATAGACTTTTAGAATAAATGCTCATATATATATATATATATATACTAACATTATACTAAGGTAAGAACAAACATATAAGTTAATGTTCTACTTCTTTTGCTTTATTAGCCATCCTTGGCACAGAGACCTCCAGCAAATACGAGATAAAAAACCACTTGGGACAAAGAGTTTACTTTGCAGTGGAAGAGAATGGCTGCTTTGACCGCAAGCTGTGCTCGCCCATCAGGTCTTTCACCATCAGGATTTCGGATAACGTGGGCAGGGAGGTGATCCGAGTCATCAGACCCTTGAGGTGCAACAGCTGCTGCTTCCCCTGCTTCCTGCAGGAGGTGAGGGAACCCCAAATGCCCCCTGTCCCAGCATCTTGCTGTGCAGCTCCTCGAGGGTGCCAGGGAGGAATTCAGGAATTCACAGGCCCCTCTCAGCCCAGGAACCCCTTCCGTGGGACCTGGCTTTGCTGACATCCCACACAAAGCTTTGGTGTCTGATGATGTCTCTCCAGTCAAGTGACACTCCAAAATACTGCTGCCCTGGCACAGGCAGAGATCACCCACTGTACTCCAGGAGGGTGAAGCTCCGTGGAGGCCACTGCGGTCTGTGGGTGTGACTTGGAAGCTGCCCTCTGAGGAGGCCGAGCCTTCGCTCCACAGATCTGCCTCTTCAGGCAGATATATCTCTGGAAATTGCAGAACATGGACACAAGTTGCTTGGAGTGAAAAATGCAGATCCCATAAAGCATCGGATCTTTCCTCCATATTTTTTGAGTCTCCTTTATTCAGACATCTTTCTTGTGTTACAAAAATGTTTTACAGGTTAGCTCATCCACTTACCTTCACAGCACTTATCCTTGTGAGGATTTTTAAAGAAAAAGTTGTTTGCTAGTACATCTGCTTAAAAAAAGCTTGTAGGATACTCACTGAATACAATAATATTTTTTTTCCCAGTTTATAGCTTTTATAAAGTCCTTCATTGTATGTAAGATCTTGGCATCTGGTGCAGATTTTTAGCTTCATGTTGTCCACTTCATGTTAGCCAGTTGTCCACTGTATTTAACATCACTGTTAGACAGTTCTGCAATATCCAGTTCCATGTTTGGTAAAATGATATGTTACTACATTCAGTAGATAAATATTTTGTCATTATATAAACAACGAGCTATCACAGAAAAATATATTAGTATAGTTATTATATAATATATAATATATTATATATTATAATATTTATATTATATATTTATATATTAATATTAAATCAGCTAAAAACATTTTTGGTTGTTGTTTTCTTTTGTTTTCTAGTTAGAAGTTCAGTCCCCACCAGGTACAATAGCTGGGTACGTTGTACAGAACTGGGACCCTTTTCTGCCAAAGTTTACTATACAGAATCAAAGTAAAGAAGATGTGCTAAAAATAATTGGTCCATATGCAACCTGTGGTTGTTTTGATGATGTTGACTTTGAGGTATGTTTCATAAAAGTGTTAATGATTTAAAAGTTTTACTGCTTTGAATAAATTTCTCAGATGAGGGAGAGAATGGGAGATACTTGAAGAAACCCTGAACAGAGTTTTCTGATGTGAACAAATTGCTTTGCCTTAGTTAAGAATCATAAAGGAATTTTGGGGTTTATGAACTTATCAACTCATTAGCCAAATCAGAAGACTCCAGTGGGTATTGTTTGAAATTTCAGTATACAGTGAGTAACATGCAGATGGCTGCATAATTGAGAACATACCTGTCCCCTGATGGGACAGTGTTCCACAGCAGTGGGGCTAGGAGAATATAAAAAACATGAGAGAGGAAAAAACCTCAAAACTCTGTGAAAGAAAGGAAAAAAGTGGCATAAACTTTCAAGATTGTTTTCTCCCACTTTTCGTCAGCTCTAAAGATGCTGATGTTTCCAAACTTGAGACCCTTTCTTACGTGCCACTCGTAAAGGGAAATTTGACACTAATAGGACATTGCAGCAATAAGAATAAAAGGAGAACCTGACAACTGTAGCATACTCTGCATGTCAGGACACAGTCATTAATTCTGTGGAGATGTCATCAGTGTGCACTTGATTTGTTTACATTTATGTCTGCTCCTGTTTTTTCTTTGTGCAGGTAAAAACTCTCAATGAGATGACAACAATTGGCAAAATTTCCAAGTATTGGTCTGGATTTGTCAACAACGTCTTCACCAACACCGCCAACTTTGGGATCCAGGTCCCTGTAGATCTTGATGTGAGGATCAAGGCAGTAATGATTGGTGCTTGTTTCCTCATTGTAAGTGTGCAAGGTGGAGGGACAGACCCACAGAGATGTCAGACCAGGGCCAAAGGGGCCCTTGATGTTGGCTTATTACTACAAAAGTGCAAGTGCATTGGAAAACCAAACGCAACACCTAAAAGAGAAATTAACTAAAACCTTGTAATTTTTATGTCTGCTTTCTTTTTTTTTAATGTTCTTATTTTTTCCCATTAAACTGTTTAAATAGTATTAAACATGCAGTTCAATATTTTGTATGGCAGAATCAAATCTCAACATACATGCCAAACCTACCAAACTCCCCCAAACCCCTTATTGTTTTTGAACAAGTGTATGAACAACAACAACAACAAAAAAGTTATGTTGTTTCTAATGGCAATTTAAAACAAATTCAATAACTCTGCTGAGTATTGTATGTAAGACCTTCAGGTCATATGACAATTCCTACAAAAATTCTCTAGTGAAGATAACCATAATAATTATATGAGAAGGAGAATACTCAGTGCTAGGGATGAAGTTCTGATGCATGTTTTCTAGAATTAAAAATTGATATTTCCTCTGTAGTTCTTTTGCCAACATAATTGTGTTAATATGAAATGGTTTCAAAATCATCTGGATACTTACATCTGAGACAATAGCCCAAAATTACAATACTATTTAAATTATTCACTGAAAAGTGTTTGCTTTAAAATTCCAACAACAATTCAGAAATGTTGCTTTTAGTAGGATAGAAATGACAGTTAAGATTTTTGGATTGTCCCCTCCAAAACTTCTGTTTCTCAGTGACAGTGATAAAAAGTGATTGACTTTATATAATTTATATTGAATTTATATAATTACTTTATGTAACAAAAGCCTACAAGTAACACTTTTGATAGTAATTATTGCATTTTTTGTACCTTCCACATCTAATTCAGTTTGTTTGTTTGTAGGATTTAATGTTCTTTGAAAACTCTTTGGATGGATTATAACAAGATGACAGAAACAATGAAATATGCAGAATGTCTTTCAGTAGGTAAAAATGAACATAAATTGATCTTCTTGCTTTGAAGGCTTATACATTTCTAATTCTTTTTCATTTTCTTCCAGAAATCACTTGAGCTTTGGACATGATTTCGAACTGCAAAAATCTTTGTTCCTTATAGGAAAAGACAGGGAGCTAATGATGATGTTTATTAAAATATGTCTCATGTAAATAATAATTTCCCACTTATATTTTATATTTGTTGTAGCTAAACACATACTTTTCACACAGAGCACTGTTTCTTTGGAACAGTGCTATTCTCTTCTTTCTCTTTTGATCTTCCTGCATGGGAAATCATGAAAGATTAGATGAAGGCTTGCAGCATCACTGATGAAAGTCTATGTTTATAGAAGCCTTTGATGTTTTGCAAGTGCTGGTACCAGTTACTAACCACATGAGGGTGTGTTCTGGGGGATTTTGCTTCTTTTATAATTTTAGAAGTAATTTTCTGATTTGTTATTTAATTAATAGTAGCAAGCTGATTTGAAAGTAACAAATATAATGACATACCCGATGGGAAGTTCAAGATGTTATCTGTCGCAGTGAGTTGGAAGAAGGAAGGAAAGTTTTGTTTGCTAGAAAACTAATTTTGTGACAAAGATTGTTTTAATGAGTGGCAGCCAGAAATTAGGCTTCCAGCCCTAGATGTGGGAATGTAAGGTCTATTCTGAAAATCTGCTCTTCCACTATTTCCACTGAAGGCAGGCCATAGATAAAGTCTGAGATGGTCCTCTGTGTGCTGGAGGCTCACAAATCACTTCCCTTTGTACTAGCCACTGTTAAGGACCCTTGCTGCCTTCTACTCAAGGCTTTCCTTAAAAGGTTTGTTCCTCTTTGTAATATCTGGTGGCTGATAATTTTTCATTCAGACTTGCCTGAGGCCATCCTAGAACAGAATTATTCTTTTCCTTTGGCAAGCTCAAGTATTTTCTGTGATGACTGTGCAGAAGGAGCTTTTTGCAGTTCAGCAGTTTTACACAGCTGTTCATTCCTGCAGCCACACCTCATTGTACTGTTCCCAAATATTTCCACCAGCGGGCTTTTGCTAATACAAGCTTCCTTTGCAGGAATTATATATGTGCAAGACATAAACAGATTTTTTTTTTTGCTGTTGTTGCAAAATATTTGCTGTATGAACTTGCTTATGCCTCTCAAAAACTGCCTTCAAGAAGCAAGCCAGTACCATGAAATATTGGTGACAAACCCAATGGCTTTCATAGTCTCCCATCAAGTTTCTAAGGGGAACATTTTACAAATTACTAGAAAGGCTGGATTTTTTTTATTTTTATTTTTATTTTTTTTTAGTGTCAACCAGTAATTCAATTCTTGCAAACAAGCAACACATCAACGGAAAGAGAGGAGATAATGAATAATTCATAAAAATGAAAAAGAGCTAAATTTATCAGGTGATTAATTCTCAACAAATATTTAGACTAATTTTAAATTAATGTTCATGGATATGAATTCAAACACAGTGAAGTCAGGAAGTTGCAACTAACGTTCCCTTAGTGAAATTAACTCAGGAATGCTTATAGATTTAAACAGTATGTTTTAGATTATATACCACACTTAAGTATTTATACAGATTTACATATGTCTTGAAAATAATTGTGGCTAACAAGCTCTGACAATCATCATTATCTGTTAACCGTTTCACTTCTGGCTGTCGCTGTGGCTCGTAGCGGTGCAATCAGGCTGCAGGAGTTGGGAGCTCACAGGGAACCACTGCTGCCACCTTTCCCAGGAGGAAGCGCCCTGTGAGCTTCGTGGGCAAGAAGCTCCCTCCTGTGGAAATTCGGGAATCTGCAGAGGAATCCAGGATGCTTTTTTTGCTATTCTCGCTAATCTCACACTGGTGACGTTCTGTTAAATGCAGCTCCTGCATGCCTGACTGTAGACTGAGAGAAAGAACCAGACTGGTTTTTTTTGGTTTTTTTGGTTTTTTTTCTCTTTAAATGCCTTTGCCATCTTAGACAGAAGTCGCTGCTGTTGTAGCCCACAATCTTGGCTCTCTGCACTGTTACTGAGCTGTGTGTGTCTGAACACTCGACTGTATTCAGTGCCTTAAGATCAGCGGGATCCCCGTTTATCTTCCCGCCTTCAATTTCCAGCCTTCTTGTGGTCCTTAACAAGCCAAAGAAGTCTTTAAGCAAATGTGTCCAACCTCATTGAAGTCAACACAAAATAAGGTTTTATTTACCCACAGGGCTGAATTTGGCTGTGAGCATCCATGTAAATATCTTGTAGCTAAGCAATGTGTGTATATATATATTTTTTAATGAATTGCAACCAGATGATAACACTGGATTTCTTGCACTTAGTGGCTCTTTTGCTGTTTTTTGTGTTAATACACAAAAGGTTCTTTTTGGCTCTTAATGTGTATATATATGAGCATTCTTGAATTCTTCTGTTTACACTCAGAATCAGCTTCTGAGCCATACAAGAACAGGCTCATTCCCTGGACAAAATTCTAAGGAGCTCTTGCTCCTTAGAACTCCCTCAGCAGCCTGCTTGACCTCTGTGCCACCCTTCAGCATCCTGGTAGCAATTCAGTGCCAATGCCAGTGCTTTTCCAGCTGGGAGGTTGGTCATCTAAACCACAGCTGTCACACAAGGGCAGGTATCCATCCTCAGCAGAATCTATGGATTCTGCACGATATTGCTAAAGAATAGCTAACGTGTTCTAAAATCTTAATACCCTGCAGCTCTAACTAATAACTCTTTCTTATTAATAGCAATGTGTTTCACGTTATGGGAGCTACATTTGCCCACCTATCACAATTCCCCCACAGGCTAGGAATGGCAAGCTTTTTCTAAAGACAAATCCATGTCCTAGATATCATCTGGAAAGAATCGTGACTGCGCTAAAGAAATGGAAATTTTACTTAATCCAGCCAAACAATTTGTTTTGATCAGTCGCCAAACTGTAAATCTTTGTAGTTCACACTCCTTGTGCTCAGTAGATGGCAGCAACAGCTCATTATGACAGTATTTAGCTTTTCACACATCATAAGCTGTACCCAGGATACTGATTGAAGTTCAACATACCTTTAACCTCTAATTAAATTCTGCTCTTAATTGAAGGCTTTATTTTTTCTGTCTGATATTAAAACCTTGCCACACAATACTGGATTATCTTTATTGACTGCAATTTACAGCTGAATTATTGGTTGTTTTATGAGATCTAGTCAGGACATGGGCAGAATACAGTCTACCACAAAATGAGCCCCTCTGGTCAGTACTCAACCTAGTTTTTGCACCTGGAGCATCTTTCCAGCTGCTTCAGGTGGTCAGAGGAGAAGCCCCAGCCCCAGGACACTCCCCACCTTCTGCAGAAGCACAAAGTGCCGTGTGTAAAGGAGGTTGCTGTGTGGTGGTGTAGCAGGCAGGGAGAAGGTTTCTCTGTTAAAAGGTCATGTCATGATGCTCTGTCACTATGTGCTGGGGCAGAGCAGGGGAAATCCCCTGCAGTGCCACAAACCCAGGTGACACCAGCACGTGGGGAGGAGCTGGTTTGCTCGTGGGAAGATCAGACACTTTGTGTAAGAGAGTGAAGACACAGAGTTGCTGTAAATTCTGAGATTCTTTGGTTGTCTGATAATTTGGTGGATGCAAAAGTACTTCTCTTCATAGACTTTGCTATGTGTATTAAAGAAATAAATAAATCTTTTTGTGTCAATTTTGTTATTTGTTTTAGGATTAGACAAACCTGGAAATTACCCAAAATGCACATTTTCTAATAGAATAGTTTAAGAATCTAAAAAAAAAAAATAAAAATTTCCTCCTTCTGACCCCCAGTTGTATTGGTTTCTTTTCAATTAGAATGGTATGTTCTATGTTAGAATGATAAATCCTAGTTTAATTCAACTCAAGTTGAGTATTGAAGGAAAAATTACCTGCAAGTGCTGACTGCATAGGATAGATGCAAAAAATATTTTTTAAAAATAATTTTAATAAATTTTATAAATTTTATAAATTTTAATAAATCCAGAGGACTTTCTGTGACAAGCTGAGAGAGCTGGGGTTGTTCAATCTGCAGAAGAGAAGGGGACAGCAAGACCTCATAGTACCTTTCAGTACCTAAAGTTGCTACATGAAAGTTGAAGTGGGGCTTTTGACAAGGGTATGTAGTGACAAGACAAGAGGGATGGTTTTAAACTGAAAAAGAGCAAGTTTACATTAGATACAAGGAAAAATTCTTTCCTGTGAGGTTGGTAAGGCCCTATCACAGGTGACCCAGAGAAGCTGTGGCTGCCCCATCCTTGGAAGTGTTCAAAGCCAAGCTGTATGTGTCTCTGAGCAACCTGGGATAGTGGAAGGTGTCCCTGCCCATGGCAGGGTTTGGAACAAGATAAGCTTTAAGTCCATTCCAACCAGAATCATTGTAGAATTTGTTTATTTAATCTTCTGTCTCTAGTTCTAAATAATTGTAGATTAAGGCTCAGAACACCTGGGTAAAGACCCACAAGGGGTGCATTCTTTAGCCTTTGGCATTGCCCAGGGTGGGATCAATCACACTGCACTTGGAAACCTTGAAAATAATACTGCTTTACAGATGTTATGGTTTGAAACTCAAAGGAGTTTAAAAAATATTGATATTTAAACCAAGAACTCCAAACTCCAAACTCCTTAGAGTTTGGAACACTTTTAAATATTTGATTCAGAAATGTTTTCCCTTAAGTAAGCCTACCATATGACAGCTGCATCACTTCAATGCTCTCAAAATGCAACAGTTGAGATAAAAACAAGTTTGGCAGAAGCTAGGACAAGTGGGTTATTACTTAAATGAACAATTTCATGAATAAATTAATTAAATTGTTCTCTTCCTATCAGGAAGAATTTTATCTATGGTTTTATTGCTTTCAGATTCTCAGGGCATGATATAAAATGAAATCAAAATTTGCAGAAGAGTGAAATCCCACCAAGAATTAGTGGTGTACAGTGTATTTCATCCTCCTTGACACAGTGGATATTGCCCTCACAAAGACAGTGCAGTCCCACTGTTTGACCACTTCCCTTTCCTAATTGAGTCTAATAGAAGATCAAAGAGATTTTTTTTCCTTTTGCTGATCTGCAAGATGGGTCCTTAAATGTCTTTTGTCTACTGTGGATGCTCATACAGTATTTATCATTGTGATACCAAACCAGTGCTTGCACTGTTAAAAGCACAGGGTGTGGTGGTTCTGTCCTAGCTGCTGAGGAAAAAGGCTGAAGGGGCGTGTTTTCTCTGTGCTTTACTCAATAACTGCAAACAGTGAGTGAGGAGATGATGTGAAAGTTTCAGGGCAATAAAATAAGGACAAGAGATAATAAATCTAGGAAGGACTCTAAGAGAAGCCCTTGTGCAAACAGGCAAGTGTGTCTTTGGAAAAATAATTTGATCAATGAGAGCACAGAAACACAATTGCTATGCCAAGATCATCTGTGCCAGCAGGTGTAACACCTAAATAAAGCAAGTGCATGTGATCCACAAAAACTTCCGTAAGGTGACTCTGTTTGCTTTTGGCTGCAGTGATTGGAACAAGTGGGACCAGGAATTTTGTTTGTGATTTGTGTTTTATCAGCAGATGAACTCACCTCCTCCAATACCTTTATGCTTTGGACTCTCATACAACCTGCTGTTGTCATAAAGAGGTGTGGTTTTATGGCTGGGGCATAAAAAAGATATGTGCAAGACCTCCCTAACGTGCTCATTTGAAACACTGCCATAAAATGGTTTATCCTGACTCATGTGTCCATTTGCAGTTCTGTCCTGCCAGAACTGTGTTTGAGTGGGTTCACTGAACACGAGGTTTTAGTTGAACTGTCAGCACCCTGGGAAAGACCCCAGGCCCTGTCCAAAGTGAAGGGGTAAATGATTGTGGAACTTGGGAAGAGGAAGAGTCTGATGGAAAAAAATCCCTGCAAAATCAGGGTAACATGAACTAAGGAAAGAGTATGGGAACAAAATTAGCAAGGTGTGGAGGAGAATACAAGGAGAATAAGATATTTCTAAGAGTAAATGAATATTTTCAATCAGAAGTGAAGTCTAATATGGTCTTTACAAATACATTCTCAGTGGAAAAGAATTATGGATCTTTGCTGAAAAATAAGCACCTGCTTGGTGAAGTCATAATTCTTTACTGTGTTGCTGATCTGTTCAAGCTAAAATGTTCTTTTATCTTGTACTACAGTAATATAACTGATAAGAGGTGATTAAGAGAGAAAAAATGTTTAAAAAATCTGCACAGATGCAAAATGCCTCATGCAGCATTGACGTGCTTTGCACTGTATATATTTATTACTAAAAGTATGTATGAGCTTTCTTGGTGAACAGTTAAATCTAAAACTATTATAATAAACTGAAATAGAAGCCAGTCCTGAGACAGATGTTGAAAAAAAAGTCTGATTCCTCTCTTTCCCCATGATGTTCCAGAAAATAAATTTTGTAAATAGCTTTGTTCAGTGTCTAATTCATAAAGCAAAAATGTCATCCTAACTGCAGTCTTGGTTGATGTAGCAGGGTTTAGAGTTCCAGAAGCCCAGTGGTGCATTAAAATAATGGTGTTTCACTGAAAGCCTGAAAAAACAAATGTTAGGGTTTGGACCAGAT